AGCCCTGTGCCGTGCCCGTGGCGGCGGGGGCCTGCCCGGTGGTGTGGGGCCGCCGGCGGAGCGGGGAGCGGGGCGGGAGGAACGCCCGAGTCGTGGGCTGGCGGTGGGGAGAGCAGGTGCGTTTTTCGGAGAGGAGAGGCGCGCGTTGGAATCAGCTGCCTAAACATCGTTAGTCTCGCTTTCAGGTCAACCCTGCTTTTCCCGAGTTCTCGTCCTGGCGAGGGAACGTCTATATATATTTACCTATAAAAGTTGCCCTGTGGAAAACCTGTTCTCTCAGGACTTTCATGAAAACGACGGTTTGCCTTTTTAAAAGTAGCAAACCTGTAGTTGGTTTGGTTTGGGTTTGGTTTTTTTTTCCCCCCCTTGCTGTGCTGTGTATGTACTTTTAATTGCATCAAGTAATTTGAACTTTGTGTTAATGTGCACAGGCAATATTTTAGTTTGCTGAAGTTAACAGAGTTTCTTAGTCTTGCACTATTTAATTAATTCCTGACACAATTCAGCAGGTCCAACTCATTTATTTCATATGTTTATAAAATCACTCATTCAGAGTCTGCATCCATGAACATAAATCTATGCCAAACCACTCAGTATTTGCATGCTGTGTCTTTTCAGCCTGTAGTGTAACTTCTCATTTTGGCTTGGTCCTTCCAGATGATATTTATATACTGAATTCTCTAACAGTACGTATGTTTGGGATGGTAACGAATGACAAGGCAGGGTAGCCAGAACAGCCGAGATAGCAAAATCAGGCAAACCTGCCATTTCTGATGCCATTATCTGTATGTGCTTTGTCAGAGTATTACCATCAAGAGATTCTCCTTTTGGTTACCTTCGTTATAGCTACAAATAATAATCTGTTTCAGTATGGTAGGAAGGCTTGCTGTGAATTTTGTTAGCAGGAGCGTTGAGCTAGGAGCTGATGTTACATGCTATGTGTCTGTGAAGTTTCCCTAATGTTACACTCGTTTCCTTTCTGTGACTTTCAGATTCAGGAAGAGACAGAAATGTGGAAAATAAGGGAGTGGGAGAAGCAGACAGAAGAGACTTACTGGAAAAGGCAAAGCAGAATGCTGTCGAACACCTCCAGGTGGGTTTTAGTTGTGTGGAGGAGATAATTGTTTTGTCTTAGTTGCTGAACCCTTTTGTGTTACAACACTTAAAGAGCATTCTGTGATGACTATGTGTTTACAATATATGAAGATTACATAGACTACAGATATATTTATTTTCTCCTTAATGAGTCCCTGAAAAGAGGTCAGACCTGTACTTAAGTCTGACCTTTTATCTCTTCATCTAGATGTATAGTCTTCAAAATACAACATTAAGTAGGTCGGGCTCTCTGAAGCAGTGGGGGTAGGAAGTGCTTAAGGAATATGTCAGAATGGTGTGAGGAAGGTCTAATGTATTGCCGTTTAGGATAGCAGTAAACAAAACTGTTGTGGTGTGGAGTACTGCACTATTATAACACACCAGTATTGACCGCTGCTTGTGCGGTATCTGTGAAATCATTCTGACATGCCTGAGGATCTCACAAGCTACATGAAAACAAGCTCGGTTTGGGGGGAAGGTTGGGGTTTTGCGTGGGGGCGGGCAGGGCTTACTACCATGAAGCCTTTTCAGAAGCGTGAAAGTTGCAGGAAGTGGTTTTAGTATCTCAGGGGAGAACACCTTTCAGACTTATGCTAAGTCCACGGCTGCTGCTTGGCTCAGGAAATGCAGCATTTCAAATGAAACGAAACCAGAGCCACAGGCATGTGAGATCACTCAAAACTGTCGGTGCTTTCTGTGGATTTGGGGTCATAGTCCTAGTACCTGATCAAATTGCAATTCTAGTAAGTCAGTCCTACTTCTTCAGTTTCCCCTTTGCTGCTTTTGCTAGCCTATGTCTCACCGCATATTGTTAGTCTGCTCCTGCAGAGTATTCTAGAGGAAGAGAACTGCATTTGTTGTGATAGGCAAGATAAGCCCTTCCTCTAATTTTGCATTGTGAGCATCTCTGTCAAGAATTTTGCTGTGCACAGAGGGCCGTAGTAAGTTTTGAAAACCAGTGTTAGCTACTGAACTGGTTTTGTGAGAGCTGTTAATGGTGACTGTCTGTTAAAATGATAGCTGGTCTTCTTGCATAGATGGACATCCAAGACTTGCTGGAATTTTGCTCCTCTCGCTGGACTAACCCCTTGCTCAGAAAGTTTCTCCATCAGAGCTGACAGCTGAAGGACAACTGTTCTCTTTCTGCAGCAGTCGGATGCGCAGTGATGGCTTTGATGAGGAGGGCCACAGGGCTGACTGGAAAACAAAGAACTCACAATTTCTTGACCCACTCGAAGAAGATCTCCTTAGGGCCCGATCCTGGAATAAAAAGCTGTATGAATGTGAAGCCAACATGCCGGACAGGTCTGTGGGGGAATTAGTGTTTTGTGATTATAACTGTAATTAAAACACCTTTCTGGAGTCCTGTACCAAAAAGTTAGTGCATTTCTCTTTTCAGTACGTACTCCTATAAAACAATGCTTGATCTCATTTTGAGAGTGAATAAGTAGCACGCACGAACTTTTACAGTGTCACAGAATACCTAATTTGAGTTCACCTATAGAGTTCCTAAGTCACAGTAAGCAGCAAAAGCTCAGCCCTAAGATTAGCAACTAAGATTAGTATTTATGACTATGCCCAAGGAACTTGGAAATCTTGGGAAATGCAAGTTAGTGCTCTCCAGGGTTATTTTAAAGAAATTTGAGTTGTAGTTTTCCCTAATTAGAAATGGAAAAGAGACTGAGAACATAACGTGTATTTAAATAGTACCAACCAAATCAGTCATGTTTCCTTCCTTCTTTGCTGGGAAGGTTCTGATAGCCCTTCTTTGCTATCTAAACTCATGTTCCTTCTGTGGCTCTGTCTCTTCACAATTATATTTTTTCCTTAAACACCTTGTCTGTTTCTAATAGATGGTTCTGCTTTCTTACAGATGGGGTCACAGTGGCTATAAAGAGTTGTACCCTGAAGAATTTGATACAGATAGGTAAGGCAAGCAGGCTTACTAATGTATCCAGAATCTTACTTCTGGCAGGTTATGCAGGGAATTTTACAAACTGAGTTTTAAGTTTTGATTATAGGTCAGCCTTGAATGTAAAGCAGCACTGTTTAGCTACAGACACCCACTGAAAAAAATCTAGTCCATTAATGTGGTTCCCCCTTGTCTGAGTCTTAGGAGGAGATTGCATCTTTTATAGTAATTAGACATTCAGCTTTAGCCTGAGTTGCTAAAATGCTATGAATCTGGAAGATCTGTCTGGGCCAACAGAGAGCCAGAGTAGTAGGCTGAATCCAAATCAGCTCAGTATACACCCTCTCAAATATCAGCTCCAGGTTCTCCTTTCCATTACAGTGTACCTGTATTTTCTGTGTTTCTCCTTATTTGGAGAATATAAGTTCTTGCAGTATCCTGGAGAGTGGGGACTTAACTGTAAAATAAGATCTTAGAATTAATTATTTTTAAACTACACCTAACAGAATCATCAAGTACAATATTTGTCAGGCTTACAAATTTGAAGTAACCTGCTATAAATGAGTTTTCATCATTCAGTGGCTTTTGGTACACATTCTCCTTGGTTCTGGCTCAAATATCTTAAACAGGGGTATTAGTAAGGTGTGGACCCAAGCTGTTACAAGCACGTGAAACAAAAATGCAGCTACCGCATCTGCCAAAGTATCTGCTTCCCTGCTCTAGCCAAATGAATTGATGGGCTTGCTTAAAACTTTGAGACAGAAAAGGCTCAACTGTTACGTGCCTGCCTCTCTGCTTCCTTTTGGTCATCCTTTGTTCTTTTTACAGTGACCAGCGAGAAGGAGATGAACAAAATGCTATCAATGGGAAGAAGAAATCTCATCTGGGAAAGCAAACTGCCCATGAGTCGCACAAACGGAAAAAACCAAAGAAATCACACAAGAAGAAACAAAAAAAGCGATCACACAAAAAGCGAAAGAAAAAGAAAAAGGAGCAGGGGAGAACATCATCAGATTCTTCCCGGGAGAACGAGTGCTCAGAAGAGGAGACTTCAAGCACCCGGAAAGGGAAACACAAGCGCAAGAAAAAGACCAGGAAAGTGCCTGCCAGGGAACCTAACTCTTCTTCTGGGCAGGAAAGTGACTTTTCTCATGCAAGCAGCTCAACCACCAGCAGCTCTGAGGACAGTGAATCTGAGGAGAAAAAAGAGAAACGGGCCCCAAAAAAGAGAAAGAAGCGTCACAATTCTGTGTCAGAGAGGCACAGTGAAGTACCAGAGAAGAGGAGCAAGAGGAAGAACTGGAAAGTGGCCGCTGATGAAAAATCGGAGGATAGCTCAGATGAGGACTGATGAGTCTAGGCTGCAGCTCAAACAATGAGGTAGAGGACAGAGACAGGTATTTATCTTTCAGCACTGCCCCATGGTACAACTTGTTTCAACGCTGTGGTTTATATACATCCTGCCAACCCACAGTGGAGAAACTGAGCCTTGGCAGCCTGCAGCAGGTGCCCCCTTGCTTTTCATTGACTTGACATTCAGAAAACCAGGGGAGCAGTTGCCTGTCTCACAGGTTGGTTAGTCCTGCCAACTTCAGATTCCTTTTCTGTGACCAGGTTGACCTCTGATGCACGAAAATGTTGTAGGCTATCTGCAGGGGGAAAACAGGCAAGTTTGCACCTTTTTTTTTTTTTAAATTAAGTTTTAACAGATTGCTTTTTTGAGTTACCAAATCAATGACCAAGACTTGCAGTAGGAGAGGGGAGAGACAAAAAGTCTGGTAACAGGAAATGTCACTGGATTTAACCCTACGGTAGCTTTGTCTTCCCATCCTCCAACAAAAGCAGACCTGTGTGGTGGCATGCACACAGTCAGCTGGACACGGAAGGGAGTATGAGGGAATACTCTCATTCCAGCTGAAAGTGCAGTGACTCCTTCTATAATGATGAAGAAAAGACACCAGTGTGTTTCCTTGTTTTAGACTTCTCCCCACATCCTGGCGTGGGCTGGCCATTGTGTCTTCCCTTCCTTCATTCTCTCTAGGGGGATGCTGAAACCATTTGTGCTGACAGAGAAGCCTTGGTGGGTGTTGTGTTCTGTCTCTGGTCTGCCCAATGTGTTACTGGAGAAATTGGTACCGGGCTGTTCTCCCTGCAGTTGAA